TTGCTGCGGCGCCCGGGGAGCAGTTGGAGGTGCGTTGCCTTACTCAAGGGCACCTCAGTCGTGGTATTGAAGGTGGGAGAGAGCGCTGTACATTCACTACCCCCACCTACAATCCCTGCCGGTATGAGACTCGAACCCGCAACCTTTGGGTTACGAGTCCGACTCTCTAACCATTAGGCCACGACTTTCCCGTGATTCTATGAGCACAAGATGCACACCATACAACAGTATGTTATGTGACATGTGGACTGAACTATATTTGTGGGCCAAACAAGAATCTGTGCCTTCAACAACAGTTTGCCTCTTCAGAATCCCCCCAGCTAAATCACATTAGCAAACAGAATTCTGCCTGTCCCAAAGCCAACATAGTGATTAGACTCATTTTTAGGTCTAGACAAACATCTTTCCAGAATCCAACATCTCACTGGGTTGTCCTCTCTTTCACCATGCCAAAATATACAGAGATGCTATTTCCAATGGAAAAAAAGTGTTGTATTTATACAAATCTTATACAGACCTGCTTCTCTCAAGTTAACGTCCAGTCAAGGATGCTTAGAGTCAACATGGAACTAAAGTTGAGACTGATTTTATTACCATATCACCATATGCATTTCTGAGTAAAATGGCTTATTCAACAAGAACTTGATTTTATCCAAAAATATATGGATGACTCATTCAAAAAAATCGCAAGGGTTTTGATTAATGCTCCATAACATTTGGGGGGTTACCAGCTCTTTTCAGTCTCAGTTATGGATTAAGATCTTTCAGTAATATCAGAACCTTGATGTGATTTTTCAATACTCTTCACACAAAAAGCTCAACTGATGATTAAACAGCACATTTTTCAAAACTCTAGCACTTTTTCATCTAATATGACTGTCATTTTCATTTTATAGAATGATACAACTGCTCAAAATTATAAAAAAAAAGGTTGAATTTCTCCTAAAGCATAGTTTTCAAATACATTATCTATGGATGTGATTTTTCATCATTATTCATTATCAGACAGTTTCCATGATCCCATGTACTATTTTTCCAGACCATGATATTACTGTGATGCAGGCCCATTGTAATGAGAACCTGTGACCAAATGTTGTGATCTGATTACATTATCAATACCTTAAATTTCTGAATTTGTTCAATGATTCACTGTAGTACTGTAATGAAACACATATCTCATATTTTGTACTACAATATTTAATGGTCAACTACACCACAAAACTCTCGTTACTGTGTGTGGGTGATCTCAGTTAATGTTCTTGTGGGGTTTCATTCTTAATTATTTTGAACAAATGATTTTGCAAGTATTAGGCTTCTTTAAAGATATTACATTTACATTTAGTCATTTAGCAGAAGCTTTTATCCAAAGCGACTTACAAATTAGGACAATGGAAGCAATTAAAATCAACAACAGAGCAATATGCAAGTGCTATGACAAGTCTCAGTTAGCCTCATATAATATGAATGCATGATACAGTGCATTTTGAAAAATTGAAAAAACAAAAAACAAAAACAAAGGTGAAATCTGAAATTAGTGATTTGTAAAAAAAAAAAAAAAAAAATCCATCAACGTGCTTCATTAGGATTATGAAACTTGTTGGCAGCGCTACCCAGGACTTGCTCAAAAAGGATTTGTCATTTTGTTTTTAGACCACAAATTCTACAATGTCACCAAAGAAGTGCGGTTGTGAGGGAAAGATAAACTTGTTTAGCTTCCCAAAGAGCCCGGCGTTAAGGGAACAGTGGATGCAGTTCGTTTCTCCGGGGAAGCAACGGAGTTGTGCAAGTGTGTTTGTTTGTTCTCGGCATGTTCTACTCAAGATTAACATGAGATTGGCAGAAACTGTGTTTTATGTGCCTTTTAATGTCTTTTTGAAATGTCACTCTACTTGTGTGGTTGCCGAGGAGCCACATGAGCTAGTTTTAGGGATCCTATGTTGAGCTTGAGGCTATGGAGAGCCACCAGACAGTCTCTACTTCTCTCTCATAGGCAGAGAAAGATTATATTCCCCCATGGGTCAGGATGTTTACTTGACGAGAGTGGCTTGCAGCTGATCCTGGACTTGCATCTGCTGAACCTGAAACTGAGGACATGCAGTTTCAGAATATTGACACTAAAACACATTTTGTCTCAGAGTTGAACAGGAGACTGATTCATAACTATTGATCTGTAAGATGCATATTATATTTTCAGATTGTCTAGAAAGACAAAGTTTCTTAGGTTTGCCGTTTTGGCAGATTCTAGCACAGTCAGAAGAAAGAATAATTCCACATAGAGACTTGGTTCTTGATCTACCGAGGCTTGAAAGTATTTCATGGGGTTGATCAGAACGCATGCACTACACAGGCATTCTGATTAAGAAATGACTCAACTTGGGGTAAACTCTACCTTCTCATTGAAAGCAGTTGGCTTGCTGTCTGTTGCAATAAAGAATATATAGGACGCTTTAGCCATCTGCACAAATGGCATAAGTGAATATACAGGACTCCTAACAAACAGAAGAACTGGAGACCTTGGGAGTGTGAACGAGTGATTTCTAAAGGCTGTGCAGATATTTACTTCATAGTTTTCTCTTACAGGGAGCCTCAGAAAAATAGCTTCAACTTCTCTCTCCCTTCTTGAATCACTCAGGTCTCTCTTTTGAGTGCTTTCTTAAACACACAGCCTTGCTTGTTCTGTTTACATTGCTGTGCATTTTAAGCAGGCCATGTGGTGGGCTTGTATGGCAATTCTCCATTACTGCAGACATGAATGAGCTTTTTGTTTGGTCTCACAACTTGTTTTCCAAGACGTCTGTTGCTTGGTTCTGTTTCCTGTTTCCAGGATTTGTTTTTCTCTCTCTCTTTTTTAAACTTTTGCTCTAAGAGGAAATCATTTTTGAGTGCAGGAGCACTGAGAGAACATCAACTGATGACAACTTTGTTCCAGGATCTGTTTTAGTAGCTACAAACCTTTAGCTGCAAACCAATTTACCTATAATTCCCACCTCCAAAACCCAAAAAGGACAAGTGCTCTAGGTGCAAGCATGTGGGTATCATGGATCCAAACTTTATACAAGACTTTGTAGATATAATGGAATCAAATACAACATTTCCAGACCGGAACTGAAGTGGCTGTTGTTCACTTTGCAGGTCCTTTCAAAACAATACCACTTCCACAAAAACATAACTTGGAAATGGTTAAAACCCATTTGTTTAAATCAGTATTCTACTGAGGCTTCTGAAATAAGCCAATGTCTTCTCTCTCTCTGTAATCAGGGTGAAAGGGAGTAATATCCTGAAAGTGGTTGACCACAGAAATGGGATCCAAAAGGATCGTGTCCAGAGGAGGAAGGGAGGGGCTGTGTGTGTGATAAGTTTGGTTTACGTTTTGGCCAGAGGTTTCAAAGAAGTTGTCGTTTTCTAACATCAATTTCAAAGGCTTTGTCTCATAATGAAATGTTTACACTTCTGAATCTGTGAAAAGATACATCTCTTCCTTGCAAAGCATGCAAAATTATTCTATAGTCAGTAAAAAGAAAAAGTAGCCAGAAACATTTAAACTAGTAAACTGCTAAAAAAAAAAAAAACTTAAATGATTATGTTGTGAAGGACTCACCTTTTTCTTGCTGCAATAGATCTGCCATTTCTTCTCAGCAGGCAAAGCAAACATGGCTTCCCTGTTTTTGTCTGTGAGATCCAGTTCATCCTGAGGAAAGGAGAGGACATGATAGCTGAGCCACACTTAACCTCAAAAGCAAAGATACCAGTCCTGTCTGTGTGTGTGGGGAGGATGGGTTGTACCTTGTATTTCCTATATATTATGTCCCCTTGAGAGTAGTAATATAAGTCATTTTTGATGTTGATGGGACATTTTTTATGTCCCCATAAGGAAAACAGCTTATAAATCATACAGAAAGAAAAATGCAGAAAGTTTTGTGTGAGGTAGTTTCTGTAAATAAAAAGTACATATATGGTGAAAAAATTATTCCTTCTTAATGTCTGTAGAATTTTCTCAAATGACCTGACAAATTTATCTAATACAATATATAAATGTATTAAAATAATATTAAGTAATAATAATACAATTCTGTAAAATGAAGGGCTCCTTAATCATGGTACCTGAAACGAAAATGTATTTATTATTAACATAACTGAAACAATGCAAATAAAATTATATAAATTAAATGAGTTACCACACATATAGGTAATTTATGCTGAAAAGTTTATGTATTATGAATTACACTTACAGCAGTAAGAATTTCATTCTATTAATTTTATTTTTCACTAGAACTCCAGATTAAGTTTCAGGAACTAAATTTAAAAGCATTCACAATTCAATTCGCAAACCTGCAAGTTCTCTATAAAGCCATTTGTGCTAAAGCTAAAATGTGTCAATAGTAGAAGGGGAACATAATATTAAAATTCCGCAACTGAATATATGAATTTTCAAAAAAATTCATATGAAAAATCTTATTTACCCATGGTTGAAAACAAATTGATTCTCCCTTGAGAATTCTCTTTAAGAAAGGTGTCATTATTCATTTTTACTGCCGGAATAGAGCTTTGAACAAGATAAGCTATTCATCAAATATATACAGTCAGGATACATGACTGACACAGAGGCCAGGTTTTGAAAAGTAACTTACTCTGACAATGTCTGTTTGAAATGATGGAGCCGATAATTTGATACTTTTTTTTTTTTTCATTTTTTGTGAAAAATATAAAAGAAATATCAAAAAATATTTTGTGAAAAATATCAAACCAGTTACCTTTCTATAGAAGACAGAAAGAAAAGAGAACGTCTCAGGTTACTTATGTAACCATGGTTCCCTGAGTAGGGAATGAGACACTGCGTCCTCTAGGGGTCGCTATGGGGAACGCCTATGGATGTCGTGACCCGTTTCTGAAGCATACATTGAAAAAACACCAACTCGTCCCCTAGAGGATGCAGTTCGAAGTTCCCATGAAAGGGAACTACACAGAGAGTGTAAATTACAGTGTGAAATGGAAACAAGAACAAGTGAGAACAAAAAGGCAGTGCTAAAGGGAGTGAGGTGCAGTAAAGACAGAGAAGGAAAGATTTAGAGATGGTCAAAATGGAAGGAAGTCATATGTGGCCCACAAGGGACTGAGAGAAAACTGTTTTAGCCAGTAGTGACCAAGCAGAAAGCCTCATGCATAGATACACAAACATGGAGAATTAACAACTAAGAGGAATAATTTACCTGAATATGCAAACATACAGTAAAACCTACCATAAAATCAAGTCTGATGTTAATGATTTTAAACCTTTTTGTCTCGTGTGTGTCTAATTTTTCACAACAAAACCATATTTGCATTTAATTTAGATCACATCTGAGAGCTACGATAAAAGGAGAAAGACTAGCAATACAGTGACTCTCTATGGACTACTTTCCTAGCAATTTTTTTTCCTTGTGGGAGGTCAACATACTCCCAGTTCACATTATGAAAGAGAGCATAATCTGTAAATTTAAAAATATAATCTTTTGTGTTTTATGGAAAAATCAGTGATGAGGGGTTTGGACAACACAACGGTTAGTGATGATGGACTTTGCATTTTTGGGTGCATTATTACTTTAAGGGCTCTGAAAATGTGTAATACCAACTGAAACACCCTCAGCAACATGCAGTAATACTTGCCTTCAGATTAATACTCATTTAGGCTGCTCCTAAACTGACAGGAACAATCTTTCACAATGACAGCACAATCCTAAACTAATTTGTCAGACATTTTCTCTACTGGCCCACTCCCTTCTCATCCAGATCTAATCAGGCTAATTTACAGGGTGTAATAGCAAGGTTCACCGAGGACAGTAGCCAGGAAGCTCAATGGCCGATATCACCACATTCAGAGCTCTCAGTCACAGAAATGAGGAAGAAACAAATATCTTGAAAGGAGGGAACGGTCTGTTCTGTTATTATGTCATGTTATTCTGTAATCTTCTCAAAATAATTTTTTGTAAACTCTCTGTCAAGCATCAGGCATCTGCAAAGGTTGTGTATGTGAGACTTCACTAAGCAATATTGCAATATTAATATTAAAACACTGATCATAGCATGTTCATTGTTTCTGGTTAAATGCCACAATTACCTTGCTGCATGATTTGTTTTATCCTGGAACTACACATTTCTACCATATGGACAGTACTTTGACACAGTCACCTCTGATTACTCGTAATTGTAATGAAGAAACATGCATTTTCTGTAAAACTGCTTTGAAACAACATGAATCGTGAACAGTTGGTATGTGGCCACAGGTAAAGTTGTTGTGCTTATATTTGGACTCTCAACATGAATGTAAATGTGATATTATGTGACTTTTTTCTCAACAAGAACAAAGTAGAATCAACCGATGCTTATCTCTGATAAACACATGGTGGGTTGTCCCTTAATTAATCAGCTGATTTAGTGACACACTCATAACACACAAAAAGACAATAACTGTTGAAAAATACCCTAAAAAATCTCCACAACTAATGCACAGACTGACAGCCGGTTTGGAAAGGCACATACACAGACAAGTGATATGACAGCAAAATGTAAAAATTCCAATGCTTGTAGACTAAATATCAGCACACTTGGAATACTGCTTGGCCAATCACAATCTTATAAAATGAATGATTGTGATGCACAGTGGTTCTAAGCATTAAATAACAAAATATCATACCAACGAAAGGTTATTCATTTTAAAGAGATTTGTGAAACATGTTTATAGAGAGCCTATCAAAAATGTATTGAAGACAACTGATATACAGTACAAGAGATGTGTTTACTATTTAGCTGCATATGTTGCAAATAAATATGTAAATGACTAGTAAATGTATCTTAGAATTCTAAAATTATGGAAAGGAAGATAGCTGTGTTGGGAAAGCTACTTTTAAAAGTAGTTTTTTTGCGGAAAGTAAGGCTTTCCACTTGTTGCTTGTAGTCACATTTTATCAAGTAATTAGATTACATAACAGGCACTACCTGGCATATTTATATTACAATCACTCTGCAACCCCACAGATTTATAAAGTTAATAAATATAAACCAAATTATATACACGTCTGTGCACAACTTCACCAGAGTGTTTGAATTACATGTTTTGAATGACCTGTTTCTCATATCATATTCCAAAAAACTGTTAAAACTCTTAATCCTGTCAAACTGTGACCCAGTTCTGTCAGGTTTCTTAAAGCTTCCTGTGAGAGAATATTTATTTCATTACTGCAAAAAGTGCATGTTTTGACATATTCCTCATATATGGAAAACACTTTGTTTTGTCTTTGCGGCAAAAAGTTTTGCTACACGTTGTGCAGACAAGCCATTTAAATGTTTAGCACAGCAGTACAATAAGACCGTTTGTTTGCTTGCTTGTTTGTTTGTTTGTTTAAATCTATACTCCAGAGTGAAAGAATGACAGCATTCTTTACCAAAAATAATCCATGAGTCTTTTCTTTGTGTATCAAGCATGAGGTTGCTCTGATTTACCTAACAGCTCCCATATGTTGGGCATTCTTTGACTCCAAGTGATGAGCTTTATTTTTTCCTTTCCACATTCTGTTTTTAGCTGAAATACAGGGTGGGGAAAGACAGTTTAGCCAGACAGAAAAAAAGACAGACAGAAAAGAAAAATTAATCCTTCTTGCAACTAAATTTTCTCTTAAACATTTACATTTACATTTAGTCATTTAGCAGAAGCTTTTATCTAAAACAAATTACAAATGAGGACAGTGGAAGCAATCAAATTCAACAAAACAGCAAGGATATGCAAGTGCTATAACAAGTCTCAGTTAGCCTAACGCAGTAAGGGTTTAAACAGCAAGGGTTTTTTTATTTATTAAACAGATTGTGTTAGCAAGGGTTTTTTTTATTTTAAATTATATAATAAATAAAAAGAAAACAGACATAATAAAAAAAATAGAGCAAACTTATGTTAGAGAAGCCTTTTTTGCTTGTGTTCACTGTATAATAAATAAAAAGATAGAATACAAAAAGATTAGAGAATCTAGTCTTAGTTTTTTTTTTTTTTTAAGTGATAAAATATAACTTAATTCCCACCATATTTCTGATATTATCTATCAAACTAATCTGATTAATTTGATTGTTCGCTTTTATTCTAAAACCGCAAGTACAGCGCACGTGCAGCGTGTTAGCATTTGTTAGCTGGCTAGCTTGTCATTCGCGTTTCCATTCGCATTTCTATTCGCGTCTATTGCTGTTTTCTTTTTCTTTTTTTCCTCTCTCCGTTTTTTCACGAGTTCATCAAACAACAGTGGTAAGTCAGAATCATTCATCAATCACGGTGAGTAATGGCTTATTCTCCTGTTATTGTTGTTTGCACCGCTTGCCACATGTAGTTTAGCTTTCTTTGTCGGCGACGAGGGATTCACATGTGATAAATACAGGGAAATAGTTAGGCTGACAGAGAAGATTTCAGAATTAGAGAGACGCATCTACGACTAGCTCAGGGAGTCCTGTACATTGTTCGGTTCCGGTTACAATGCCTCTGCAGCAGGGCGACTGTGTGACTGTGAGGCGGCATAGTCGCGGATCAAAACACCGCTCTTCCGTTCCGATCAAAACATCAAACAGTTTCTCCCCACTCAGTGATGCATCCACTGAGAAACCTGATGAAGGGCTCTAGTTATTGGCGATTCTATTGTACGGAACGTTAAAATAGAGACACCAGCCACCATAGTC